CCCCAAAACCCCAAAACCCCAAAACCCCACAGGTATAAATCTCAGTTGAACTTACCTATCTTAATTATTGGATTTTATTTCTCAATATGGAAGCCGTAAATGCTGCCCGCAAAAAGTAGGTCCTCCCAATCAAATTTCTATCATTGTTATCCAAGTGTGTTAATTTGTGATAGGTTCCAGTGTAGTGACCCTGCATGCAAGAAAGATAGAGTTTACTTCTGCAAAAGCCACCAGATGAAGGCATGCAGAAGCTGTGCCAGCAAGATGCACTTCAGATGCCAGCTGGATATCATTCACGATCTGACTGACCTCAATGTCGATGTGATCGAGGCCAAGAGATTTGTAAAGAGACTGTTCGAGCTCATAGCTGAGAACGGTCTGAGGGCATACAGCCCTAATATTGACAGTGAACTCAAAGATTTCCAGGACAGTCTCGTCGAGGTCGAAAAGAAAATAAGAGATGCAATTACTCATGATCATTACGAGCAATTTGACACTCTTCAGACTCAGATCAAACAGTAAGCTCCTCCTCTGCTTGTTAAATTTGTGCCCTCGTATCTTTGGGTGCTTTGGCTTAAACTTGCTGATATCTTTAGCGTACAAATCCAAATGTCTGACAGCAATGCCGTCAAAGATATTTTTTACTTTTCAGCGTTAAGAGATGTCAGCCTGTACAGCTTGCCCAAGATCGGTAAAGGTAGGCTCATGTTTGTCAAGCTTAGTTTTATCATCTTCCACCAAGGTCAAAGAGAAGATCGACGCTGTGGTAAAAGAAAATGTGGAGCTGATGGAGAAGAAGTTCCGTTCCAAATCAAGGCACTTTGAGCAACAGTGCAAGGACAGGCTCACAGAAGAATTCAAAGATGAAATCCAGAACCTGAAAGATCAAAATGATGCCAAGGATACAGAGCTTGAGGAACAAAGAGAAGTCACAGAGCAAGCACATCAAGATACCAAGAAACAAAGAGACGAAGCCCTTGCTGAAAATGCCACGTTGCAAGATGAGAACAAAGATCTGAAAGATTTCAAGACTCAGCTTGAAGAGGATCTGAAGGCTAAACTAGAAGAGATCAAGGAATCCAAGTTACAACACGACAAAGACCAGGAAGAAATATCCAAATTATGCGAAGGTAAAAGTTTATAAGATATGACTTGTAGAGGTAAAAGAAAGCCATGGCCAACTTGAAGAAGCAAGAGAAACTCTTAGAAATCAACTTCCAGATATTTTCAAAAACTTCAACCCTAATTCTAAAGACCTCGTTCTGAACATGAGCCAAGAACAACCACAGAAACTAGTGAAGGCAATGGGAGACAGCAAGTATCCCCTTCCCAATATGAACAGACTCAAGCTAGATTACATCTACAACCAGGAAGCTATTCTCAACCCCTTCATGCAGAACTCAGTCGCCTCTCCTCTCAAACTCTTTAACCTAAATTGTAGCTTTGTTGGAAGCAGTGGAAGCAACACAACCGAAGCTAGTGGGTTGATGAAGGGGCTGAAGAGCCTCCTGCCCAACGTCACAAAGGAAGTGTTCTTGTGGTATCTGATAGTGAGTGAGGATGCTCTGAGTCAGATAGTCAAGGCTTCTTCCAATGCGCAGAGGCTTACTGTAGGTTATAGCAAAATTAATTTAACAAACTCAAACATTCTCAAAATCCAGACCTCAGACTCCCTCGACTTTACCTCCGCTGCTCAATCCAAACTCGAATACTTGAGCTTCAGAATGTGTGCTTACGACAGCTGGTGCAACCAAGAATGGGACAAGTACCCAGACAGATTTGAAAAGATTGTGGTGGCCATCAAGAACTCCTCCCTCAAAGACTCCCTCAAGACCCTCAATGTCTACAGCTGCAAGATTTCCCCATCCAAGGTGGGCGAACAACTGGAGACTCACGGGCTCTCCCACATCAGTGTGGTGCAGGAAAATAATCTCCCTCTGACGGAATAATTTGTTGGTGAAATGGATTAATTGAAGAATATAATTCTTGTTCCACAGTCATTCGAAATTAGAACCTGGACTTAGTAATTACTATTATAAGAAGGTTAGTTAAGAAATGTTCTTTTTGTTATTTTCAGTTCCCTGGAGTTCACCTCGATTTTGGGATATTGTTTGGATTAGGGGTGGGTAATTTGGGAAACAAAGACATAATCGTAGCGAATTAAAAGGCTTACATTTTTGATTTAATGGAACAATCAAGTGTTAATGTGCTATTATGTATTACGGATTTAACATCACATAGCAAGCAATCTGCTAATTAAAGCCATCACCAACATGGAAGCGCATAAGTTTTTATTATTAAGTCTCAAATCTTTTCACTTATGGAGAAGAGTAATAACTTTAACAACCATCTAATTGTATCACCCTCGAATTAGTTGTTTTTGTAGACTATGTTAAAAGTATATTTCTTCGTAATTATAATTGATCTGATGGTTACATAGGTATAAGTAAATATCCCGAGTATTTTCGCTTTTGGCATGGTTTCATAATCTCAAAATTTGAGTTTTCAATTCACAAATTTTGAATTTAATGACATTTTTTATTTTAATATTCCTCAGCAAAAAAGTAAATTTTAATTTCTCATACTAGATTAAAATAAACCAAAAATTTATTAAAAAAAAACCAATTTCAATTAAACCTCACCATAACGGGGTTTTGGGGTTTTGGGGTTTTGGGG